AGTGGTTTAGGGTTTAAGGGTTCAGGGTTCAGGGTTTAGGGCTTAGGGTTTCGGGTTTAGGGTTCAGGGTTTAGGGTTTAGGGTTTAGGGTTTAGGGGTTTAGGGTTTAGGGGTTTAGGGTTTAGGGCACCTGCAAGAACACTCAACCTTAAAACCCGCTTAAGCACCTTTGTCCAACCTTTGTAAGAATGACGAAAGGAACTCTGAGACGGTAAGATAAATCAAAAGAGCGCCGTAGGCGACAACTCCAGTATACACGAAAGGACCTCTAAACCTGAGAAACCCAAACCCACATCTCACCTGGTGTCTGGGCGGTGGTTGATATGGGGGTTTCTGAAAATAGAGCCTAATATGGCACCCCGAATAGTAAGATCCTTATCATAGGGAACCCAAAGTAAGGTACCCCCTCCTTTTCGGAAACTCCCAAAAAGGGCTTCAGGGCTCTCGGTTTACGCGTTCATGGCGATTGTGGGGTGTGGTGACTCAGGGCTTTGGGTTTTGGAGAATGGCTATTTCCTAGGCCAGCCCATAAACCCTAAATAAACCCTACAACCCTAAACCCGAAACCCTAAACCCTATAACCCCATACACCCTAAACCCTAAGCCCGTATCATGTCGCAACGCCTGGCCTCCTGCATCCCAGGCAGATGCGAAAGCCACTGGCCGGATCCGAGCGTGCGCAGGCCCAGGGCAATGTCCTGCATCTGCTTTGCTGAAGTGCTCATTCCCAGACCGCAGCTTGTGGTAGTTGGGCATGTCTGCTGTGTTAAGCTTGCAGACTTCGGGCCCTGAACCCTAAACCCTGAACCCTTTTTTGCTTTGTCTGTGCGTATATGTGTGTGTGTGTGTGTGTGTTTTGCTTTCTGGGGTGGTGGCGGTTTGGGTGTGGAGTTCGAGCTTTTGGGGCTTGGCCTGTAGACGGCTGGAAGGTGCATGGTCGTTTGCCTCGACGTGTTTTTATGGCATCTTGGACGAAGCATTAAGTTTCATGAGCGTCGAAATTTGTGGCTAAACCATCCAGATCTCATATACAGCCCTACATATATGCATGCATGCATGTATGTAGGTATAAACACACAAGTTTAACCAACCCTAAACCCTAAACC